AAAATGATATAAATCATAAGGCATCCAAAAGAGCATTTTTGTCTAATTTTAAGTGATTGCCTAAATAAACCCAAGAATTTTAATTAGGGCTATATAAATTCAAATAAATACAGAAAAGCGATTCATATGAAGCCAATTTTAAAATTAAAAATAGGTTTAATTGGGGCCATTCATTACTGTATATACAATACGAAATTTATTCAAGGAGACATGTACATAAAAGGGAACATATAAATATCTAAGTCAGAAGAATGCTTTTTATATTAAGTATCTCAATTTTATGCCAAAATATGCAAGTTTAACTTCTTAGTTTTTTAGATTTTCAAATCATATTTAAAAAAAAAAAAAAATTTAAATGATTCATGATTTAGTTACGAGTATTTCGATACTATGATAAAATGAAAAATCTATACAATTCAAGAAAGAGCATTTTACTAAGAAATAGAGAGAAACTCTAATTTGGAAGGTGACTAAATATGTGACATATAACACAATGTTCTATTCTTTTTATTTTAGTAAATAATTTTAAGTCATTCAAAATTTCATTGGAAAATACCAACATCCGGTTAATTTATTTTTACGATATAAATATTAGTATATAAATGAAATTCGAATTTATTTTCCTTCATTAATATATATACAAGGTTTGAGTACGCGTTTACATGCTAAATTTTACCATAATATTATAAAAAAAAAATTTTTTACATGTTAAACATTTAATTTTTGAAATTCCAAATAATTGAACTTGACACAATGGTTCAATATCACTGCAATTAATATCACTACATTTCATACTACAAAAATTATTATGAAAAATCTGCGCTATTTTGGCAGTGTTGTTGAAATTTTACACCATTTTGGAAACAAAATGTAACTTTAATCTAATTATTATTTTAAAATAAAAATCCCAATTCCAATTAGTTTTTAACTAAAATGGATAAAAATTTTGTATTTCATATATATACGAGTACTTATTTATTGTGTTCTAATTTTTATATTTTATCCAATATAGTTGCGATCATTAAGCAAGAATATAAAAAAAAAAAATAAAATATTTTTTATAATGTTTACTATTAATTATTTTTTACAAATTTGTTCTTAATTAAATAAAATGAACATATATGGGATTTTATAGATTTAATTTCGATTACTTATACATAAAAAAAAAACACATATTATTATTAAATCCTTTCAAAAAATTTAAATTATATACAGAAAATACAAATTAAATTGATTAAATATAATTAGAATGAACTTCAATAAATAAGAAAAAAATTTTCGTTTCTCAATAATAATTATTATAAATGCAAGTATAAAGAGTATATTGTTATATTATACTTGTGTATACTAATTTAGTATAACAATAATAATTGATATTCCTATTATTTAACAAACATAATTAATACAATATGAAAACCATAATTGAAAATTTTAATTTATTTTTATATATTTTAATAATTAATTTATTAATTAGTAATTTAGATTACATAAAAGTGCATAATATGTTGCATGTAGTAAAGTGACTGCTATTTTAATTGGGTTTTAACCTAAAACAAAAAACATATGTTTGTTTTCCAAAAATTTGACATATTTGAAATGAATTTTTTAACATGTTCCAAAAGAAAATATTAATTAGGGTGTGTATTGCTCATTCTCACATTTTTTTATTAAAATATTTATTTAAGAAAATTATAAAATTTCGAAATAAATTTTGTGAGAAAACGTGTAATATGTGATTTTTTTTTTTTTTGTGGTGATTTCGAAGAGTTTGTAAATCGAACGCTAGGTTTTGCAATGAAAATTTTGGTAAGACAAACTAACCTATGAATGCAAATATTAATGATACTCTCTTATTTTTCATATGGAAATGTTAAAATCGTCATCTGCCGGAATAAATGTGCGTAACTATAATCTTAGAGAGAATAACTTAAATTGTGTTATTATACAAAGGGCTCTCACGGCACATTATTGTTATTTTTATATTATTATTGAGCCTAGAGTTTTCAATAGTTCAACTAATTTTATTAGATCTAACAGATGTTTTACTTCTTTTTTTCGTAATTCTAAATCTTGGTTATTTGGATTTGATTACTCACAAATTGTGTCTTTAACTAATGTCATTCAGTAATGCGTTTGACTCTTTATATATTGTGATGTTTTTAATTTTTTATTCTTTATTTTATTTCTGATTTTATGAATTTTTTGTGATTTCACAAAACATTACATAGAATTTTTAAATCCTTTGTTAAAACTTACGGAAATAAATGAAATTACAAATCTAAATCTATTTCTCTCAGTCATAATATAGGGAACTTTACCCTCTACATATAGGCAGGAGTGTATGTAGTCAGAAGTTGTCAATACATAAATTGTTGTATGTTTTGTGTCTTATAAATTCAAATAGATAAATGCTTATTAATGGAGCGCTCTAAATATTTTTATATAATTTTTATCTTGAATTTAGTGCAGTTTAAATGTACAATATAAAATTATAGAAAAATGTTTGTATTACACTTAATTATTTAGGCAGTGTTTTGCTGGTATAGTGGGTAAATATTAATTTTGTATGAAAATTGAATATTTGAGGGAATTTTGAATGCAAAAATGGAAATTCCTCCCTCATAAAATTTCGTTTTTTTAAGAAAATCTTAAATATTCAGTTCAGTTACATAATAGTGTAGTGTAAGAAAACTATACATATAAGAGAGCGACAAATTAATCAAATAATTCGATGTTCTACTCGAATTTTCGAACACTCGAACTAAACACACAAACTAAATATCTTTGAAAAATATTTCCATTGATTTATGGTTTGATTTTTTTTTTTCATTAATTTTCATTGTTTCATTTTAATTCTAGTTCTTCGGATTAATTAAAATTTAAAAAAAAAAAAAACAAACACACACAAAAAATTTAAAATAAAAGCACCGGAATAAAAACAAATTTTGAAATTCCATAAGAACTTTTAAGAATTTGACTCTCAGCTAAGATTAACTAGAACACTTAAAAATATCACTAGCTGCTATCAACATTAAAGCTGTTATTTGGGTTGGCTTTTATTAGCTTATAAGGTGTTTTAACTATTTTTTTGTTGTTGATTGTTGAAAAATTTTTATTGATGAAAAATTATTCAATAGTGATAACGTGACAGAAACTATATGTGGATATTTATAAATGATTGATTAATGTACAGGGTGTTAAGAAATTATATATGCAAAATAGAAAATAATAACAGTTGATATAATAACTCCCAGATTGCTAAAGAATCAAAGTTAAATGTGACCTTGTTAAATATGTGTTCGCGCTAAATGAACTGCAATTTGAATTTTTGCACACAGGTTCGCATCATTAACAATTCATAATTCTCTTCATTAACAAAATATATTGTTCGAATAGGTTAAAAAAATGGGTATATAAATTATTAAAATTGGCCTGAATTCCTTACATCGAATGTAGAACAATTATTATAATTATGTATCTGTCACTTCGAATTCCTTTCATCTAGGTTCAACCGGATGTGAATGGTTATGAAAAAGAATATTAATTGTAAGTCAGTTTTTACATTTTTTTATGCTAGTTTGCGGTTTTAGTTGTTAATCATTACGAAGAAGATTTGTGCTTTTTGTTTTTCAACATCTTATACCACAATTCTTTGGTTGTACTGACCTAACGCAAAAAAAAAACTTAGTAATGAACAAAAATAAATTCTTGTTATATAGAAAATATTTTGTTTTGTGGTTAGTTTTGTGAGTTAATTAAGATGTGTTTGACACTGTAACGGAAAAATCAAAACAAAAACGACAAATTGCATCTGTAAAGTTCCTAAAGATAAAAATTATTTAATATGTTTTTTTTAAATATTATTTGATGTAATAATTTTTAATGTGATTTTATGCTATACTCATCTTCTGTTCTTTACATAATTTACAATAAACCTAACCATAACTACGAATATATTTTTACTTACCACATTGCGTACAATAAGAAAGGTATTGTGGTGGTACCAAGTTTCGCATATCAAATATAAGGAAACGATTTTGGCGAGATTTTGATTCTGTTCGTCTGCTTTATATTAATATTTGTTGAACAGATTTAAAAATGTACAAGTAAAAATGTTTGAGTCAATCTTAAACAGCTGAATTAAACCTTGACAATCTGAACATAAAAACTGTAACAGCTACCCGAACCCATTGTTCAAATTGATCAAATTTCATTTCCAGTCTTAATTCCGACAGAAAAGCAACAGTTTGTAAGGCTTTGGTGATATTTGTTTTATGTTCAATAGTTCCATCAGACAGATAAATTAACGCAGAATTTTACACTCAGCCGATTTTATTATTGGGCGTTAGTAATTAGACCATCATTCAAAGGGCCTCTTTTGCATACGGCAAAAAATATTGCCTCTTTTGCATATTTTTACCCTATATCTTTCGCAATAATAATAAATTTTCTTGAGTTCTTATACCTCAGATGTATTCGTTTGAAGACTCATATTGTGAAAGAGTTATAAGAAAAATTAACTATCATCTTGGAGATTCAAATGATTAGAGTCGATCATGAGCTGTGCACATCAAAAATTTTATTGCCTGTGTTACAAAAAATGTTATAGCCTTGAAAATGGCTTAAAATTTAGGTTTAAAAAAAAAATATTGTTGGTTTTTTCATTATTATTCTCGATTCTACTCTCATAAACCGCATATTTTAACTTAAGGTGTTTAATGGTTTGCGGTATGGTGCCGTATGAAAAACGACTGATGAGAGAAAAAATTCTTATTATGTTTTTCAACATTTTTATTTTAATTAATTCACTTGAAAAAAATTTTTTGTTTACGTTTAGTAATTTTTTTTCGCGTATAAAATGTAAAATTATATTTTAAATATTTTAAATCTAAATTCACATATATATATATATATATATACGTATATATGTATGTACGCGTATATTTTAATAAATTACTAAATAAATAATTTTATATCTTTAAATCTTCTTTTTTTTTCAGAAAAAATCTTAAGTCATATAGAAAAACAAAGATATGATGGATGGTATAATAATCTGGCACATCCCGATTGGGGATCAGTTGGTAAGTTTTACATTTATACATATGTATACTTAAATATATTGACGTCTTTAGTATGATATTCAACATTAAGACTAGTATTGTAGTAAATTACTACAATCAGAAAAAACAAAATATGATTTTCAAATAAATTTCAATTTAATTACTTTTAATAGATAAAAATAATATAAGTGAACTAGTAGGTGTATTTTAAGGTATACCTACTTTGTAGGTGTAACTTATGTTGGTAATTAATAAGTAATTTAATTTTTTTTTGGTGAATAAAATAAAGAAGAGATTAGTAGTTAAAATGTTAATAATTATGTAAGCTAGTTATTTATCGCCTATAAGCAATAAGCATATCCTATATAAGTAAGTTATTAAAAGAAACTAGTGCGTGTCGTTTTCGCATTATTACAGATATGTGCTACAATAAAAACACAATCACATTTATTGTAAATTACACTTGTAGCACTCAAATTCGGAAATATTACGAATTTCATATTATGAATTTAAAAGTAGTACAATTGTATTCCGAAATTCGTAATAGAATAATTATGAATCGTACTCGTAATGAAAACCAAATGTCAAAATTCTACCAATGAAATTTTCAAACGTATAGAAAGCCAGTAATCAAGAGTGGTCGGTTAGTTTTTTTAAGTTTTTGCTTATTTGTTAATTTTTTTTTATGTAAAATAGGAAAATGCAAGTATTCAAATCAAAATTTCTTTAAAGGGCTTTTCTTGAAGGTTTTCTTGAAGGAAAACGAACTCAATTTAATTAAACTTTTTTTTTGATTATCTATTGTTTTTGAAATATGTATTATTTTTTTTTAAATATCTACTATGAAATTTGAAAAATTTAAATGTTGACACTAGTTGACAGCTGTAATAAAATAGCGATTTTGACATTCCGAAAAATAATGTTGTCATTGCGGATTCATAATATTTACGAGTGAGATTTATAATTACTCAAAAGTCTACGTGTGTAGAATTCTACGAGTGAAATTCACAATAACCTTCCTTAATCAAATAACAAGCAAGTTAAGAAGCTTCGTAATTTATTTTAAATAATAGATACGAAATTTTTTAAATTATATTTACAATGGAACTTCCATAACTTGAAATAATTTTAACGGTTTCATCTGGTATATTCATTTGTTTAGGAATGTTTGCTGTTACCTAATTTGTAAATTAGAATTCAGTTGTAATTAGACAATATTAATTCATTTCCTAATTAAATTTCTCTTTAAATTTTTAAATTTTTCAAAGTAGTTGAATTTTACAAGTAATTTCTCACTTTTTCAAACGCTCTTATCACTTAAAAACTACGTGAGAACAAAAATGTGAAACACAGAATAAGAATGACACCGCAAAATGTCAAAAATAAATTTGAAACTGAGAAAATTCGTGTATAAAAGACGCCGTTTAAGGTAATTTTCGAGAACGTCATTAATCAGATAATCGTGCCAGTATCTTTTTTTAACAAATGACAGTCATATGCTTTTAAAGCTATCATTTTTCAAAATTCTTCTTACAAGACAAGATTTAACTACCACAATATTTATTGACTACTTTCACATATAGATTTTTTTTTCAAATAACTTAAAATTTTTACACTCTTATTTATTGTCGTTTCTTTTTTTTATTTTTTAGATAGTCATCTAGTTCGTAAAGCACCACCAGCCTATTCAGATGGAGTATATGCAATTGCTGGTTTAAATCGGCCATCAACAAGACGTTTAAGTCGTTTATTTATGCGTGGTGTTGATGGTTTAGGTTCAAAATATAATCGTACAGCAATGTTAGCATTTTTTGGACAAGTTGTTGCTAATGAAATTGTAATGGCATCAGAATCTGGTTGTCCAATTGAAATGCATCGTATTGAAATTGAAAAATGTGATGAAATGTATGATAAAGAATGCCGGGGTGATCGTTATATACCATTTCATAGAGCAGCATATGATCAAAATACTGGTAAAAGTCCAAATGCACCAAGAGAACAAATAAATCAAATGACAGCATGGATTGATGGTAGTTTTATATATAGTACATCAGAGGCATGGTTAAATGCAATGAGATCATTTCAAAATGGTAGTTTATTAACAGATAAAGATGGTAGAATGCCAGTTAGAAATACAATGCGTGTACCATTATTTAATAATCCAGTACCGCATGTTATGAGAATGTTAAGTCCAGAAAGATTATTTTGTAAGTTTTCAAATTTGTATTTTTTTTTTACATTACTTTAAAGTTTAAACGATATTTTAAGTTTTGAGAGGGTAATTTTAAATATTCCAACATTTAGAATTCCCAAAATTCTTAATTTTCAATATATGTATGTGTTATACGATAGAATTTTTCAAGCTAACCTCATCGGATTTTTCCAAAATAAAATTTTTATATCATGCACTATTTACTTACATTATAGCTAGTTATTCAAATTGAGAAGAAATAAAGTTATTAGGTTGCAGTCAATCTCAAATTGTTCAGTTATCCTATTATATCAACAAGATATGCGAAAGGTTTCCACCTATTCTTCTAGGGATATTTTTGAGTAACTCAATTTATATACATTAATATTATTTTTAACACAATTAGAAATATTTTAAGAGTCCTACCTGACTTTTCTATACTCTATGCCTTTTTCTTCAGTAAGTAGTCTTTTATCTTCCCTTTAATTTGTTACAGCATATTATAACACTAATTTCTAACTCCCTGGTGCATTCAATTAATATGAGTAATTGAAATTTATGTTTATTAATAGCTTTTCTGTTACATATGTGTTTTTCTTAAATAATTCCTGCTTGCATTAACATACATACATACATGCATATGTACATACATACGAAAATGTATGACAACAAGAAAAAGTTCATTCAATAGTCGACGTACAATGTACATACATGCTTATATTATGATATTGTGCATATATTCACAAGAACATTTATATTATACCATAAAATAATGTCAACAACACGTTTACTCAGTTCCGCTATTTTAAATTACATTCAATAATAATAATAATAATAAAAATAATAATAATAATAATAAAAATAATAAATAATAATAATAATTATAGTAAACAAAATTAAATCAATTCACGCTTATTTATTTATTGTATCGCTGCATTCACAATATTACACACTTAGTATATGATTACAATATTCTCAGTCACCGCATATTAATAATTAATAATCATGTATAACAGTATAACGTTATTCTTATTAAATATTCAACTGGCATATTATTGTCATTCTGTCTGATTTTTTTACATAACTATGTACCATTTCTATATACATACATAGATTTCTACGGTATTTACATTGTACTTACCCATGCAAATCAAAAGTTTAATACGGTAGTAAGCTTTTTTAATTAACAACTAAATAATATTAGTAAACAAGAACTATGTATATAAGTAAGTAAATATTAAAATAATGTCTATACAAATTTTATTAAGTAAGAAGAAGACAAAAAAAAAACATAAAGAACAGTTTTTATTTTCTTTATTTGAAGGTTCTACCGAGATTTGAACTCGGATCGCTGGATTCAAAGTCCAGAGTGCTAACCATTACACCATAGAACCATATAACGGTCAAATAGTCAATTATGACCAAAGCTTTTTTCTCTATATGTTTTCTATTTTTTATTTTTTTTATTTTTTTCCCCCGAAATACACGATTTACCAAAAAGTAAAAACTAAAAATATTCATGTAATATGAGTGTTGGTTTGTACAAATGTTTACAAACATATTTATGTATGTGTGTTTGTTTTATGCTCATCATTTTTATAATAGAATAGAATTCAAAATTTACTATAGAAACTAACGGAAATCAAAATATTTACAAAAAAAAAAAAGAATAGAGAAAAAAAAAAACAAAATTTTAAAAAAGCTTTTCTATTAATAATTTTTTACTATCGCGATATTGCCGCTATCACACTGTACTGTTTTTGCTGATCAATACATACAAAGTTTACCGTATATTTACATATTAGTGTTGTATCGTGTACGGGATGAAATAAAAGCTTTTTTTTTTTAATTTTTGTTTATTTTTTAGCTTAACGGTTTATTTTTAATAATAAAATAATCTCGAAATTAGAATAGAAAAATCTTTTTCACTATATTTTAATGAGTAGAGTAGATAAGGTAAATAAAATAAAATATTGTATGTACTAGTATGTATGTATAATTAGTGTATGTATACATGTGTGTTGTAAATAAATAAAATTTGTTATTTAAATTATGACGTAGGTATTCCAATATTGTTCTACTTGTTGATTTTTTTGATTTTTCTATTTTATTTTTGTGTTTATCTAGTGCTTTTTGAGTTGTTTACAATATTTTTCGTTAGACAACAAAGGGAATTCCTAATACTATTAAAAATTTTTTATAAATGAAGATTATTAACTATGTTTGTATGTACATATTTAACAGATGCTTTACGTTCTAGTCTAGTCTATTTTAATAGAAAATGTGGAAAATATTTGAATAAAATTATCATTTCCTATATTGTTACTAATTTAATTGTAATAAAATTCTAGAAAAAATTTGGTGATTATTTTACATTATAAACGAAGTTTCCTTTTTGTACATTATAGAGCAAATTCAGGTCAGTCAAATAATAGGTTTGTGCTAGTTATTTTACTTCAACTTATTCAGAGCTTACAATTCGTGCTCTTTTTTACGATTATTCTCAGATTGCGTTCTACGTGCGCGAAATTTTTTTTTTTGAAATTTCAGAGAGCTATTCTTTAACTATTTTGAGACTTCAAATTTAAGAAATTGTTAAATGACTGCATAAGTATGCAGTAATAGCTGTAGATCTGATCAGATTCGACCTCTGAGCTAAGAAAACGAAAACTCTCTATTTAGAAATGTGAACTGTAGCTAATATATAAGGCATCACCGCATGTTAATCAAAGAAAGTCTTACAGAATTAAAGTAATTTACTTTAAATGTAATGTAAATTTGCAATCTTCTCTATTAAATAATTAGATTTTTTGTTGTTAATGAATCAAGAAGAAGTTTAACTCACATTTTAAAATGAAATCTGAATTATGCTTATTGTGATGTGTGTGTTTACATTTTAAACACTAAGGTATAAATCAATATTTTTTCTTCTAAATGCGAATATTTCTACTTTTGGCACAAAGTCCAATTAGAATTTGCTCATTTACGAGCCTACATAACACAATTTTCTGATTTTTTTAATTGATGTAATTTAAACCACGATATTTTAAAATATGCCAATTAATTTTCCTTTTAAATATATGAAATAATAAAAAAAAAAATATTAAGATTTGAAATCAGTGATTTCATCCAAAATGTATGCAAAATTTTAGAGTAATTCTTTGAATATAAAAATTTTCACCATAGTGGATCCTAAATATATGCAATATATTCTTTTAAATAATTTTATTTAAATTTTTTTTTTGTTATGACAGAATGAAATTAGAAAATTCTATTTAATTAATAAAACTTATTTTAATTTTAGTACTTGGAGATCCAAGAACAAATCAAAATCCGGCTGTACTTTCATTTGCAATATTATTTTTAAGATGGCATAATGAAATAGCAAGACGTGTTAAAATAAAGCATCCAGCTTGGAGTGATGAAGATATTTTTCAAAGAACACGACGTTTTGTTATTGCAAGCTTACAAAATGTTATTTTATATGAATATTTACCAGCTTTTCTTGGTTCTGAAATTCCACCATATGAAGGTTATAAACAAGATGTTCATCCTGGTGTAGGACATATATTTCAAGCAGCTGCATTTAGATTCGGTCATACTTTAATACCACCTGGTATTTATAGACGAGATGCAAAATGTAATTATAGAACTACACCTATGGGTTATCCTGCCGTACGATTATGTTCAACATGGTGGGATTCAAATGTAAGATTTGGTTTTTTCTTTTTTTTTGTTTTCTTGTAATTGGTTAATAATATAAAAATAATTTAATAAACACAATGTATATATTTTTTAGGACTTTTTTGAAGTTTCATCTGTTGAAGAGGTGCTAATGGGTATGGCTTCACAAATTTCTGAACGTGAAGATCCAGTTCTTTGTTCAGATGTTCGAGATAAATTATTTGGGCCTATGGAATTTACTCGTCGTGATTTAGGTGCTTTAAATATTATGCGAGGTCGTGATAATGGTTTACCAGATTATAATACAGCAAGAGAAGCTTTTGGTTTACCCAGACGAAAAGAATGGAAAGAAATAAATCCTGAATTATTTGCTGCACAACCTGATCTCCTAAAGTAATAATTTGTTATAGTTATACAATCTAGAAATTTTTTAATAATTAATTTTTTTATTTTTAGGCAACTTGTCTCTGCTTACAATAATCGTTTGGATAATGTTGATGTTTATATTGGCGGTATGCTTGAATCATTTGGAAAACCAGGAGAACTTTTTACAGCTGTAATTAAGGAACAATTTACAAGAGTTCGTGATGCAGATCGTTTCTGGTTTGAAAATGAAAAAAATGGTGTCTTTACCAAGGAGGAAATCGAAGAAATACAAAAAATTACACTATGGGACATTATTATAAATAGTACGGACATAAATCCGGGTGATATTCAAAAAGATGTTTTTATGTGGCACGAAGGAGATCCTTGCCCACAACCAATGCAATTAAATGCTACTAAATTAGAACCATGCAGCTATTTGCAAGGATACGATTATTTTTCTGGATCTGAATTTATGTTTATTTATGCTTGTGTTTTCCTAGGATTTATTCCGATTTTGTGTGCAGCTGCTGGTTATTGTGTTGTAAAATTGCAAAACAGTAAAAGAAGAAAATTGAAAATCAAACAAGAAGCCTTAAGAACTGCTCCAAATCATAAAGGTTCTGTTGATAAAATGTTGGCACGAGAATGGTTACACGCAAATCATAAACGTTTAGTTACTGTTAAATTTGGACCAGAAGCTGCAATTTACACAGTAGATAGAAAAGGTGAAAAATTAAGAACATTCAATTTGAAAAATGTTGATATGGTAACAGTCGAAGAATCACAAGCAAATCATATTAAAAAGAAACCATATATACTATTAAGACATCCAACAGATCATGATTTAGTTCTTGAATTAGAGTCATATGGTGCTAGAAGAAAATTTGTAAAAAAACTAGAAGATTTCTTGGAATTGCATAAAAAAGAAATGTCATTAGTTGAAATTAATCGTGATATGATGTTAGCTAGAGCTGAAACCAGAGAACGTCGTCAAAAACGTCTTGAATATTTCTTCCGTGAAGCGTATGCGCTAACATTTGGTTTAAAACCAGGAGAACGACGTCGAAGATCAGATGCTTCAACCGATGGTGAAGTTATGACCGTAATGAGAACAAGTTTATCAAAATCAGAATTTGCTGCTGCTTTAGGAATGAAACCAGATGATATGTTTGTAAGAAAAATGTTTAATATTGTAGATAAAGATCAGGATGGTAGAATTTCATTTCAAGAATTCCTTGAAACTGTTGTATTATTTTCACGTGGTAAAACTGAAGATAAATTACGTATTATATTTGATATGTGTGATAATGATCGTAATGGTGTGATCGATAAAGGTGAATTAAGTGAAATGATGAGATCATTAGTTGAAATTGCTAGAACAACAAGTTTAGGTGATGATCAAGTAACTGAATTAATTGATGGTATGTTCCAAGATGTTGGTTTAGAACATAAAAATCATCTGACATATCAAGATTTCAAATTAATGATGAAAGAATATAAAGGAGATTTTGTTGCAATCGGTTTAGATTGTAAAGGTGCTAAACAAAATTTCTTGGACACATCGACAAATGTTGCTCGTATGACATCATTTCATATTGAACCAATGATGGATTCACCGAAACGTTGGTATCAAGAGAAATGGGATTGCTATACAACATTTTTAGAAGAGAATCGACAAAATATTTTTTATTTATTTCTGTTTTATGTTATAACAATTGTATTGTTTGTTGAAAGATTCATACGTAAGTAAAATTTTAATATTAGTAATAGATTACACATTTACTTACATACTTATGTAATTTTTTAGATTACTCTTTTATGGCTGAACATACAGATTTAAGGCATATAATGGGTGTTGGAATTGCGATAACAAGAGGATCAGCTGCTTCATTATCATTTTGTTATTCGTTACTCCTTTTAACGATGTCAAGGTAAATAATATCAATTAGAGTCGAAATACTCTATTAAAATGCGATATAATTATTTTCATTGTAGAAATCTTTTAACAAAATTAAAAGAATTCCCGATACAGCAATATATTCCTCTTGATTCACATATTCAATTTCATAAAATTGTGGCTTGCACTGCGCTATTTTTTTCACTTCTACATACAGTCGGTCATATTGTAAATTTCTATCATGTTTCGACTCAATCGCATGAGAATTTAGGATGTCTTACAAGAGAAGTTCATTTTGCTTCTGATTATAAACCAGATATAACGTTTTGGTTATTCCAAACTGTAACAGGTATGACATTTGAACATATTTTATAATTTTGAAGCTAACAAATGTATTTCATATAAACTAAAAATTTTCTAATAATTTTAGGAACAACTGGTGTAATGCTGTTTACAGTCATGTGCATTATTTTTGTATTCGCTCATCCAACAATTAGAAAGAAAGCTTATAATTATTTCTGGAATATGCACTCATTATATATTTTACTATATTTGTTATCGTTAATACATGGTTTAGCAAGATTAACTGGCCCACCTAGATTTTGGATGTTCTTTATAATTCCTGGAATTATTTATACATTGGACAAGGTATGATAACTCGACTAAATCAAAACTCAATTTTATTACTTAATATTTCTTCTTTCATATTTTGTAGATTGTATCATTACGTACAAAATATATGGCACTTGATGTTATTGAAACAGAACTTTTACCATCGGATGTTATTAAAATAAAATTCTATCGTCCACCAAATTTAAAATATTTATCTGGGCAATGGGTACGTTTATCATGTACAGCATTTCGTCCATCTGAAATGCATAGTTTTACATTAACATCAGCACCACATGAAAATTTCTTAAGTTGTCATATTAAAGCACAAGGTCCATGGACATGGAAATTAAGAAATTATTTTGATCCATGTAATTATAATCCAGAAGATCAACCAAAAATTCGTATTGAAGGACCATTCGGTGGTGGTAATCAAGATTGGTATAAATTTGAGGTTGCTGTTATGGTTGGAGGTGGTATCGGTGTAACACCATATGCATCAATATTAAATGATTTAGTTTTTGGTACAAGTACAAATCGTTATTCTGGTGTTGCTTGTAAAAAAGTTTACTTTTTATGGATCTGCCCATCACATAAACATTTTGAATGGTTTATTGATGTATTAAGGGATGTAGAAAAGAAAGATGTTACAAATGTATTAGAAATTCATATTTTTATAACACAATTTTTCCATAAATTTGATTTAAGAACAACAATGTTGGTAAGTTTTCGAAATATTTTTTTAAAATTTTAATGCAACATACTTTAATACATTATGTTTTTTTTTTAGTATATATGTGAAAATCATTTTCAACGATTATCAAAAACATCAATATTTACTGGTCTCAAAGCTGTTAATCATTTTGGTCGTCCAGATATGTCAAGCTTTTTAAAGTTTGTTCAAAAGAAACACTCATATGTAAGTGAAATATTGAATCGTTGCAACCATTTTTTGTTTTCAATTAATTTGAATGCAAGCCTAATTTTCTTAATTTATAGAAAAAGGAAGTAAATACCCCCTTTGCTTTTCACATTTTATAATAAATGTACATAAAAACGCTTTTAAAAATTTACTCTATATTAATATTTAAATTGAAATTTATTTTTCGTAATATCATTGCCTAAAAACCAAAGATTTTAATTTTTAACATCTTTGCTAAAACACAATTAGGCTTTACTTTCCTAAAACGCGTTCTTAAATAGCAATTTGTGTTAATATTATCTGGCCGGATACCTCGCAGTATTCGGAAACTTCTACTAAATTTTTACTATGTTTATTTCTGAATTTTATTTACTTTTTTTATTTTTTTTTTTATAATTTCATTTTAGGTATCAAAAATAGGAGTGTTTTCATGTGGTCCAAGACCATTAACAAAAAGTGTTATGTCTGCATGTGATGAAGTTAATAAAACCCGAAAGTTACCATATTTTATTCATCATTTCGAAAATTTTGGTTAATTAAATTGTCACTTAGTAATTTTTTTTTTTTTTTTTTCATTTTAGTAATTTTCATTAAATTAAATATTATTATTATATAATTTTATACCATATTATTATGTAAAATAAAAGATTAAAATAAAAAATGTGTTATTATTATTTTTTAAATTTGTAAGAAAAATTCAACAAAACATGTAAAAACACAAAAAACAAAAAAAAAAACAAAGATATCATGTAAAAAATTAAAATTATTATATTTTAAAAATAATTTATTTATTATTTTCTTTTTAAATTAATTTTAAAAACTATTTTTGTTGTAAAATTTCTTATTTAAAAATGTTTTATTATTTCTTTAATATAATTTTTAATTCTCTTTTAAAATTTTTAAATTTATTGTAAAAATTATTGTTTAAAAGTTATGATTATTTGCTGGATATGTCGACAATATCACCACTGTTGTTTGGTGAAAAAGAGTATTTCTTTTAGAAAAAAAAATTGTATAATTTTAATTTAATTATTTGTAATTTCTCAATAATTTCGTCTTTTCATTATTAATTTTCAAACTATTTTAAATGTTTATTAAAAATAATATTTAAAGTGTAAACACTTAATTAATGTTTCTTGTCCCTTTCGAAGTATTTACTCTTAATGTCACAACAGCTACCGATAACCTTCCTTTCTAATAATTGTAATAGCTACCGAAAACCTTCCTTTACAATTATTTTTTAATTAAATTTATTTCTTAAATTTTTTTTATTTTTGTTTATTTTAATGCCGAATTTTTAAAATTTACTTCTCAGCATCTTTTGAAATTTATTGTAAAATTAAATACGACATAAACATTAAATTAAATAAAAAATTTAAAGCAAATAATCATAATTTAAAATAAATAAAAAAATTTTAATTTTAATTTAAAAAAAAAAACATAAAACTATTGTTAACTTTAGTAATTAAATTTTCTATTATAAAAACAATATTCTATAATTGTATATTTATAAAAAATTTAGATTTTATAATTTAATTATTAGCAAATTCAGTAATTGAATCACAAAAAAAAAAAAAGTGATTCAATTAATATTGAATCACTTTTAAAACAAAATCTAATGTGACTTTTTATGAAAAAAAAAAACAAATATTATAAATTTATTACTTCATCTAAATTACATGCTATACCAAAATATTCATCTTTCATTTTCATATAATAAGAGACCGTACATAAAATCAATTTTTTCCAATTTTAAAATTTTATATTTAGTTTTGTTTAATATGTTGAATTCACTGTTGTTATGTCTATAAATTCTGTATATTTTGACAAAATGATTTTAAAAAATATTCAATGGAAATCAGAAAAAATTTTGTGTAAAATATAAAAATTAATAATTAATTTTTAAAAATTGTAATTAAATATTAAAAAAATTCCAGAAATTATAAAAAAAAATTGTATGAAATGTTATTTTAATAAAAAAAAAAACGATTTTAGAGATCATACATCTCTCAATTTAATATTAATTTTTGAAATAGAATTTTCGGTGCAATCATAAAATAATTAAAAATAAAGTCGAATGAAATATTTATCACTAAAATTATGTTTGTAATTTGTCAAGCTAGCAAAACTGAACTCCTCTTCTTTTTTTTATTTAAATTAAATATTTTGCGTAATAACTATTATTTAAAATTGTCCGATATAATAAAAAATTTTTATTAAACTGCTTCAAATTTTAATTACACCTTTAAAATTGTAGTAATTAGGGAAACTACTAAAATGCGGAACTAAGAATACTTTTTTAATTACTGAAATAGTCAATTTGCATTTTGGAAGAAGCAATTAATTTTAATTAATTGATTCATTTGTATGGTTATATAATTATTATTGAATTAATTCAAAAGTAAAAAATTCAATTCTTAAAACTCAAAGACATTCAAAATGAAACTCGAGCAGAAAACTCATTTAAATTACTTACATGTTCTCATTGCATATAAACTTTATAATTATATTATAATAAAATAAAAGTGATAGGTAAATTATAAAATAAAATAAATAAAATTAATTTTTTTTTTTTTTTCATTATTTTGTTAATAAATTTTTAAACAAATTGTAATTATTAGCTAAAAAAAAAAATATGTTTTTTTTTTTTTGATTATGCATACATTAAGTTTAGTCAAATCTATATAAAATTAGTGTTTATGAAACAAAAGAAAAAATTAAATTATGATAATAAATTAAACTCAAAGATTTATACATTAAAATATATTAATGAAATTTATTATAAAAATAAAACAAAAAAAAAAAACATGTGTAGAATAATTTTAATAAATAATTATTTTTTAAGAAAATATAAATTTAATTTTTTTTTTCCTATCTGCCAATTGTAGTATTTATCACTTTTATTCATACTTATATAAAACAAAATACAATTTTAAGTTGAAAGTAAAATTTTTTAAAAGAAGTGAAAAAAAAGGAATGAAAACAAGATAAGATAAAAAAAAAACAATATCCATGATAGAAATAAAATTTTAATTTTAATTTTAAAAATATAAAATATGCGTTTTTTTTTAAATTTATATCTGATTTGAACGTAATTTATACAGAAAATTGGTCAAATTCAAATTATAGAAAACAATTAGGAAGATGTATGAAAAACAGACTTCAATCAAAATAGGTGGGTGTCTACAAAAATTCAGATCTAATATCAATTTGCATTATTTAGTAAAAATGAAATTGTATTGCTAAATAAATCAAATTGACGTTATTTCTACAATTTGGTAAATGTGTTGTGTCGATCTTGAAAACTTACTGCTTGAATAACATGTAACAAATAATGAAAGCTACACAAATTTAGCATTGACCTATTTTGAATACAATTTCATCATACATGGCCAACAACAAATCATACATGGCCTGCAAATTCATTGGCAATTTGTATTATTTACTTGGAATTCAATTCATATAAAAAAAAATTTAAAAATTAACCTCTAAATAGCTGATTTTATGATATTAAATAAATGTCTATCTACAACTCAAATTATATACTGAAAGAAGTCACAAATTTTTCTGTTTATAAATAAAAAGTACATTACAAAATGTTGGAAGCAAATGAAATATATACAAACTGGAGTTGATGGAATATTATTTAAAAAGTATTCAGTGTTTTAGAGTAGAATTTCAAATTTCATATTAGTTATTCATCTGAAAGAATATGGTTGAAAAAATTGCTGTGCATACTTACATTCTTTATCGCATCCTTATTATATATAAGTATTTAAAATTTTTATTTTATTAACTTAACAAAAATTAAATTTCATTATATTTACAAGTTTTATTTTATAATTTATTTTTTTGTTTTCTATTCGTTGCCTATATTTATACATAATTTATATTACAATTCACTTATAATTAATATCCGTTTCTTTTGTTTTAATTAATTTATTACAAATTTCGTTGCTTTTTTATTGTTATTTTTAATAAAATTGCTTTAATATTGAATTAATGGAAAAAATATTTTTTAAATTTTAATTTTTCGATATTTTACTACCTTTATTTTATATTTTTAAAATTATAATTTTATAATTTACAGAGAGAAATTTCACAATTAAAAAAAAAAACAAATCTCCTTAATTAAAAATTAAGAAAATTATTTGAAAACATTTTGATAACTAGTTTTTTTTTTTTTCTTTTCATCTTTAAAATCTTAACGAACGACTACATGCAAAGTAAAACTAAAATCTATATTAAAACACAATATTATTAAATAAAATTAATTAATTAAAATTAAAAATTAAAATATTCTTAAAATTTTCGTTTCAAAATCAATAAATAGTTGTTTTTTTTTTTCTTTTTCTTACAATTAAATTTAAAAATCAAAAAAAAAAAAATTTACACATGTACGACTAAAATTTAAATAATTATGTTTAGTCTTAGGCAGTTGTCAGATGACTGAATAAAACAAAAAAAAACTTTTTATAAAACCAAAAAAAAATTAATCGATTTAGTGTGTAGTTTGCGTATCGAATTAAATCGAAATTTTTTAAGATTATTATTAATTTAAAATTGATATTGACTTTTTTTAAAAAAAATTTCGATTAAAAATCGATACATGTCGATATTTCTCAATTGATTTAAAATTCATTTAATTATGTATTTGGCAACATCCATATACACTAAACATAATTTTTTTTTATACTTGAAAAATTTTGTTATAAAATTACTAAAATTAATTAAATCGCTTATTTTAAAAGTGTATTTAATCATGTAAATGAATTTCTCGAAATTCTAATAATACAAAATAGCTTTCTGGTTTAAAATTGAATAGTAATCGTAATAATTTTTGAAAATATGGTAAACAGGGGACTGTTCTAAGGCTCTCCTATTATTTTAAAGAAATTAATGTAATAGGGAAATTAATATAATAAATATAATAAGAAATTTTGAAGTATATACTTAAATTTCTATGCTTAAATCTAAAAACACTATCTTGTAATTAATATAAAAGAAAATATTCGGAACAATAGTAAGAAAAAAATTAATTAAAAATTTAAGAACGGGAACTTTAATTTTAAATGACAATTTGATATCAAAATATTTTATTTACTGGGTTATTGTAGTTTTAGTTTTCTGTACAATATTAATCACAGATTTGTTAATACACTCAGAACAAAAGCTAATTGTCAAAATAAACGATTCAATAATTAATATACATACATATAAGTGTTATAATATTCTATTTTATGACATTTGTGAAATAGTGAGTTTATTGTCACCAATTTTAAAAATTTACCATTTTTCGGAAAATATTTTCATTTTTACATTTATCTTATATTAAAACTTAACCTAAATCGCAAAAATTACTTTTATATTATTTTTTAAGTATTTAAATTTTTTTTTTTTAAGATTTCAAGTGACAAAATATATATCATTAATTTTTTATATTATTGTTTAAAAAAAATCTATTAAATATGGCGGTATATGATTAAATTTATGTGATTTTAAGTAATTTTATTATTTCTTTTCGTCTTTACAGATTATTCTTTTCTTTATAAATAAGTCAATTTAATTACAAGAAAAAACTATAGTATCACTACAAATTCATTGTCAAAAATTATTTGAAAATCTATTAAATTGAAATTTAATTTTTTTTTAATTTTATATTAAATAAAAAAAAATTAATTTTAAAGTATTAAAATAATAATTACAATTTCTTTTAACATAACCTCATTGTTTTTAATAAAGAGGTGTTTATTTTTTTAGGATGTTCTCTAACATCGGAATTGCAAAAATACTATATTGATGTACAATTCAGCAATAAGTTTTTATAAGCTGAATTGTGTATTAATAAAGTATTTCTATAATTTCGATATTATGGTTTGTTAGTAAATTTATTACAATGTTTTTTTTTTATTTCTTTAATTTTATAATTTTCATAGTATTTTATATCTTATATAATTATCACAATTGCTTTTAATCACTCGTTAAGATATTCATATTACATTTATAATATTTAAAAAAAAAAAAAAACAAAATAAAAAAAAAATATACATCAAAGGTATTTTAATTTAATTCCTAAACTTATATTTGCTTGTGTGTGTGTGCGCATTTCATAAATAATTTTGATTTCTATCATGATATATATAAAACTCTATCGGTTGGGGATTATAATAATTATAGTAATAATAATAATAAGGTATATGTCACCAATGTACCATATCTCTTGTACGTTCAAGTGGAGGTTTTCTAAAAAGTATAAAAGAAACATTTTTTATTATTAATGTTACTTAAAGAAATTTTCTTATTTAATTGTCCTTGCATTTCAAATTTGCAGTAATATGGTATTAATAAAAGCTGGTAAATGTATTAATACTTGTTTCACTTCAATTTTGAAATTATAGTAGGGTATACTTACGGTAATACTCTTGATAAAGCTTGTTTATGCATTGGTGATATTTGTACATTAGCTGAATGTATACTAGATGCACTATCTTGTGATATTGTTCTTTTTAAATTTCTATTTGATGGCGGTAAAATTTGTTGTGCTCTTCTAAATGGATATCTCCATGGAGATTTAGGAACATCACCTTGAAATGCTTTATTTTCAAAGCCTGTACTACTTGAACGAACACCACCACCACCATGACCAGTATTATTACTACTTCCGCTACTTGATGCTGTATTACGATTATCTAAACTAGTACTTGGGCCAGCCATATTATTATCTTTATTTTTTGATGATAATCTACGTAATATACGTGAACCAAGACCACCATGTGGATCTTCTAAACTTTTGCTATTACGTTTACGATAACGAACATCACGTGATTCTTCTAAAATAACATGACGATCATATGGTGTATCATAATAGACTTCTAATACTGTTGAAAATGTATGCGGCCATACTAAATCAACAACTGATATTATAATACCAACAGAAAAGCATAGAATGCCTAAAATATAAAATATTTTAGAATTAAAAATTATTAATAATTTAAATAATATAAATGTGTACTGACCTGCAACTAATAGTAACCAATAACACCAACCCAAACGAAATTCCAATTTACCACCTTCTAGATAAATGGTTAATGGACGTTTTGGTAATAACAAATAATAACCGATATTTGTGCATACAATTAAAAAACCAGTTAATGCTTTCATATATGCACCATAACGTGGTACAGCTACTAATAATAAATTCATTAGTAACCATGATGCAACCGATGCCCATAATAATATACTAGCAAAATAACCAGCAGCTCTATATTGTCCACCCCATGAGAAACCTTCACGTCCTAAACTAAAATATTCAGCTACCGTTAATATTGGATATGGTAAACCACGTTTTAATGCTTCATGATAATTTGCTTTCATATCGGTAGCACCTTCCCAACCAAAACGTTCATTATAATCGATATCAGGTACAGTCCAATTACCAATTTGTAAAGCTAAAAAGAGAATTTATGAAAAAGAAAAATCATTAGTAAATTTTATATTTTTATTTATGAAAAGGTTATTATTTTGTTAAAAAATTTTAGACCATAAATAGTAACACAAGTTTAATGATGGAATAATATTGATTCTCAATCATATTCAGCTTAGGTATAAGTCCCTAAATTCAGTTTCTAAGTAAATTTCTGAATTTATTTAAAAACTAGCAAAGTTCAAATTTACATGAATGTATAGAACAAATTGATTTGTGTCATAAGAATAGGAATATTTTTCCAAAAAAAAATTTGACCTTAAAATTGTAGTAATACGATATTAATACACAATTCAGCAATTATAACTCATAAGCCGAATTGCATTTTAATACAATATTATTACAATACCTAAATCAGGCATAAACAATCCTCTTTTCCTAAATTTCATTTTAATTGGAATTTTAAATTTGCCATACATACGAGCTGATGCTGTTTTTAAAAATGGCTACTCTTTTAAAATAATAATTCATGAGTTTTTCCCTTTTAATATTAATTAGTGTTATAAAGGGAGAAACTCATATTACATAAGTATTTCACTAATTTATATGTATAAGTTATATAGATACCGTAGTAAAGCAGACGAATCTTGTACTATTCTTTTAGATTAACGAGCTTGAACTTAATATAAATAGAAATTTAAAATTTGAGAATGGAAACTGATCTTAAGAATTTTTCGTAATATCATACATTGTAACCTCGAACCAAAAAGAGAATTATATGCTGGCCATGGTTAGTTATTTAAGAGTTTAATCAAAGAAAAACAAATAAAAATATTAGAACTAAACACTTTAAAAAAAATATTATAAATCAATTAATTTTTCTTTTTTTTTTTTATTATCGCACCAATTGTAATTAAATCAATAATTTTAGTTCTATAGAAAAAAATTATTTAAGAAAAAACCACCCTTCAAGGTTTTTTCTTTATTCTAATCATTTAATCGCATACACATTTGACCTTAACACAAAATTTAGTAAGACACTAGCTACGTTATAAGAAGTTTCTCTTTCTATGATAATATTAATTTGTTCTGTACAAGTACAAGTAATTATTGTGGTAGTATAATGTTAGTATAGTCAATAGTGGCATGATACTTTATTAATGCTGTTATTAAATACACAATCATACAAATGAAACCAAAATATTTCCTTGAACTGTTTATCAAATCACAAAATATAATTTTATTTAAATATACTTAAGTATAATTATCTTATTTTTATATTTTAATAAAACATGAAATTTAAGATTCTTAAATATTCTATTTTGAATTGAATTTCCGACATAATCAAGTTTATTTTAATTGTTAAATAAATTTCTAAGCATAGCAATATACAAAAATGTAAAGAAATACAAAATTAACCAAGAACAACAACTATTCTTTTAAATTTTTATAATATAACCTCAACATAAATTTTAAATTGAAAATAACAAGAAAAAAAAAATGGCAAAAAAAAAATAAATTCAATTATAAATAATTAAACCGACATTATCACACCAAATTAAATATTTATCGTAATTTGATAATTAAATAAGTTTTAAGTAGCTACGATATGTAGCTTAAAATCCAAGCGATATGTAGCTTAAAATATCTCTAGAAAAGAATTTAAACTGCAAATGTCAAAAATTTTTTCAGTTCAGTTTAATCATGTTTGACAATTTATTTTTGTAGAATTTTAACGACTCTTGTCAAGCCATTTCTCATGAAGACTGTTTTATTTCCTCTCTGCGTTTCCCTATTCTGCGCTTTCTTTATTTCATATTTAATTAGTGGTTTTAATTTTTAATTTTGTAATTATTAATGATTGTTCAATTTGCCCTGCTTGCTGATTTATTGTTATCAACTAAGCTATTCCGTCAATACAAATTGTTGCATCAGCTAAAAGTTGCAATCAACTTGTAAAAAAATTGTTTGGTTGTTTGATTACAGATGCAATTATGTGCAATTTCATGTGTGCGCACGTTACTAATATAAACTAAATGGGACAAATATGAGCTATTAAACAACATGAAAAAATGAAAACTGCAACTATCCGTCAAATTTAATATGGAAGCTTGTCACATTCTATGACGTAAATGTTTAATTAAATCAATCACTTGCATGCAAATAAACTTTTACTTTTCTTGTAAATGAAAAACTGAAATTTATTCATACACTTTATTGAAATTTGTAACAATATATTAAAACCAGAAAGGCATTTATTGTGCACGCACCTTAAGCGGAAAAAACGCAAAATTGAAAAATTAATAAAATCAAAACGTAAAAATAATTGCAAAAGTATGCCATAATTGATAAAATTCTAAAAAAAAAAAACCTAAAATAAAAAATTTTTCTAGGTTATATAACGGTACTTTACACCAAAAATAATAATAATGAAATAATCAGAAAAAAAAACACAAAGAGGAAAAAATAAAAAGCGCACATATGATTTTAACCTTCAACAGGAGACAAGGTTACAATATTTTTATTTATGTATGTTATGCGAAACAAAATCACAAGTATTTCAAAAGTGTTACCAGAATGTCATTAAAAGGGGGGTGATAAAAAAAATTGCAAAAAAATAAAATATTTTGCAGGTTAGAAAAAAATTTAATTTTTTCTTTTTTTTATTTCGCTATAAAAGCGCGTAATACTAGATAAGCTTATATAAAACTGCAAAAATTTACAAAAATAAAAAAATATGAGAAACACTCAGAAAAAAAAAAAATCAGAACAATATGAAGGACAACTAGTACAGTGCAATTTTATGTTTTTTTTTCTTCTGTTTCGATCATTGCAATTTAAGTGGTATGCAACATTATGCGCTTTTATACAAACAAACATTGTATGAGGTATGAGCTGTCAAAAGCTATGCAACATTGTCTATGTACATATACAATAAATCTAGCTATAATCCATAAACTTTTTATAAAAAAATATTGCAAATAGAAAAAAAAAAATCATTTTAAGAATTTGATATTCGCGGTAAGAGAAAAATAAAATAGAAACGAAAAAAAAATGAAGTCATTCAAAAAAATTGTTTTTTATTTTTTGCAAAATTTTTCAATGTGAACGTCAAGTCGCTATAAAATTTTTTTTTTTTTATGAAATCAAATCCATATTTTGATTGTTTTTGTGCTAAGTAATAAAAAAAAATGGCAATGCGATGACAATTTAAGTGAGCTTATAGTTTATACACAGCACTTTATATCTTTCTATACATACACATAATTTATGTATGTATGTAAAATTATTTAGTATGTTTCTCTATATATATGAGAATGCGGCGGTAATTATGCGTGAATAAAATTCATTTTAATTTTCATATTTTTTTGTTTTAAGCTTAATGATTTCAAAAAATTTTTAAAATATTTTTTTATTTTTTTTATTTTTAAAATTTAAAATTCATGTAATATGTTACAAATTATTACCGTTGTCAAAATAAATTAACGCTCTTTTTTTTTTTTTGAAGTATAAAAAAAAAATATATTAATGCAATATGTTTTTTTTTTTTGTTTTTGATTTAGGTTACGATTTATAATTTCTAGTTTTTAATTATAAAATTAAGAAAATAATATTTTAATAAAAATATTAAGAAATAATTAGAGCGACACAATGATAATATTGTGTTAAGGTGTAGGTTTTTTAAGAAAATGTTAATGAAAATTAAAATGAACGCTAAAATTGGATTAGTAAACGTTTACACATTAAACATTATTCGTGCATTTATTTGATGAGAATTAGATAGTCTTGTATCTTTCCCATCAAACTAAATTCGCGAACGTTTATATATCGAACTTTTATCAATATTTCATCAGATCAAACCGAATCCGTGGACAATGTTTTTTGTGTAAACGCTCCCCTATGTATAAAGGACATAGAGTAAAAGATTGAGATTAAATTAAATTTCTTGTGTTGCATTGTCAAAACAAATTAAAGTCTCTGCGTGTAACCAACCAATCTAATGAAAATTATTGGATATATTCTATTCAACTTAAAGTCTCTATATTGTCAACTTTGTCGTAAATTAGATTTCAAGAAAATTTCTCTAGGGCCCCGAGAATGAATAATTTTGCATTTTCGACAATATCTTAAAGAATTTACTAAATTTGACCCGAACTTTCACAAATGGCATATTTTACACTTTTGCAGTTATTTTGAGCTAGTGAGAAGTACCTTGTAAGCTTTCTAGGAAAAATAGATTTAATGCATTATGCTAATTTTGAAATAGGTGAGAGTATATCGTAAATCCTGGAATATCGTAATAAGAATTTGCAAATGAATTTATTAATTATTGAGAATTTGACGTTTATTTTCCATATAAAAAGGTTAAGCCACCTATCGGAAAAAATGTGTCTAATAGTCTAGTCTTACATATATATTTATTGTGGTGTAATTAAGAAAGAAACTGATCCATGACTCTATTCTTTAATACGCTACACATCTACTTATATTTATTAAAATTCAAATAACTCAATCAATAAAATATTAATTAGTATAAAATGAACCGTTATTAAAATATGTAATTTTCAAAATTATGCAATTATTTACTTGTCATTTTTATTTTTACATGCGATTTATGTATATACGTGGATTGCGGATATTCCAATAAAAATATGCAAAAGTTTAGTAAATTTTTTTTTCGTTTATAATTCTATGGGATCGGGTTAACTACACATAATTCAAATTTGTGAAAAAAAAAACAAAAAAAAAAATAATAATAAAAATTTGACATGTTTAGGTGCGCATATTGCAACCGGCACATTATTTAAATATGAAAAATCGTGTTAAAAATGTATGAATAAAAAAATAAAAATTTGTTTTTAATTTTTTTTTATGTAAATTAGGTGCGGTCCCCATGTTAAAAAGTTTAATTGAAATTTGCGCGCCTGATTTATATTAAAATTTAAAAACAATGTTTTTATGGAAAAGTGAAACAAAAAAAAAAACACAGAACACACCAACAAAAGTTGGTGTACAAAAGCGTTAGCAAACAATTATGCATTTTTTTTTTCTCTTGTTTGAATGCGTTAAAATCACCTCTCAATAGCACTTAAAATAAAAATATTTTTTGTTTTTATGTTTTAATAAAACAGGGGTTCGTTTGAGGAAACATGTATAACAATTTGAAGAAAAAATCAAAATTGAAAGTGGGTTTGACTTTTTCCACATAATAAAAAATTTTAGATGAGAAAAAGATTATTTACGAGTAGAAGAAATTTATCACTTCTTTATTCCGTGTGTAACATTGGTGTAATTAAAATTTCAACAATTTTAAATATTTATTGTTAGATTTTGGTTTGTGCAGAAATTTTCATTTGTAATATCAAGGTGGCGTGGTATATAAGGAAATCATGCAAAAATTTGACATGTCGCTAAAAATTTTAATTGAAGTTGCTCTTATTAAAAGTAAATTCAGGAATACAAATTTTTCTTAGTTAAGTTACAAACAGTCCGGCAGGGTTGTAAGAGACACAACTGACGAGCTATAAATCCAAGGAGAAATTAATATATTTATAATTAGAAGGAAAAAATCCGATTAAATTAGAGTGAAAAAAAGTTGCGCTCTGAAGAGTTAATTAAAATGAATACCATAAGTGCAGGATATTTTTCATGAGTTAAGAACTAAATATTTCAAAAAATATTATTAAAGTAAGTTTAATAAAAATTTAAAATATTGCCATGTTATCAACGACATTAATCAATTATGCTTGACAAAGTATTGGTTTATTCACAGTTAACAACAGTAACACTATTACATTAAATAATAACTCTATAGCACTATTAATTCAACACTGAACTGATAGTTCTAGAATTTTAATATTGCAAAAATTTAATAAAAACAAAATAAAAAAAAAAAAATAATTTTTTCAAGGACTTTTTGTTAACAAGTTGATTTTATTTTTTTTTTGGTTAAAAATTTTTGTTAAAGAATTAGAATTTTTTGTTTCCTTAATGAATTCAATAAAATGTTGCATGTACTAATATAAATAATTTACAACAATAACAGTAAAAGATCTTATTAGCACAAAAAATAATTGTGAGAGCAACGACTCCATATTAATCTTATTTTTCTAATTTATTTTCCCTTAAGAACAGGGATAGTTTCATGTTTATAGTGATTATCTCTTTCTGTAAATAACTCGAACGAAATGCAATAAGAGAGGGAGACAGAGAGAGCACTTTTTTATGATATTGAATGTTTTTGTATAAAATATTGAAGAGAAGTTTAGCAATTTTTTAAGTGTACAGTTGCTATTAAATGATTTGACATTTCGGCACCGCATTAATTAATTGGACATAGTGATTCAAGATTAATGACAAACATTGTGTATAGCGCCTTTATTTCTAATATATGAAGTCTACGAATTTGCTTTTCAACCTAGTGTTATTGATTGAGGTTTTAAGGAAAATTTAGAAGAAATATAAATTTAAAACATATTTTCAATGTGTCCCTTACAGTTAATCATTTAATACATTACGAACGATAGAGCTGGGCAGAATTTTACTAATATATTTTAGTAGATTTATTAGAGTTCGCTCTCAGTATAAATAATTTTGTAATGCAGAATTAAAAGTTTTGCACTTTAAACTTAAATATTTAGATTTTAATCAAAATTACAGAAATAATAGTTAAAAATTTTTACAAAAAATACGAATTTAATTGATTATAGTTAAACAATATAAGGGGATTCTAGACCAATTATTTCGTTTCTTGAATTCAACAACTACGGATAATTACAAGAACATAACACAAAAGTAAATTATTAGTTTTTAATGATCTTGTATAATGTTATGACAAAATTACAGTATATTAAGAGAACACTGCACCATTGTAGATTATACAATACATGTACTTCGTTACAGAAACTCCTTATTTATTACTTTCATATTCTGAATTACAATTTTGAATTTTTATACTGAAATGAATATTGTACTTATATAAATTGAAAATTCATTCATGTACCCATTAAGTTGGGCACATGTAAGTAAAAACAGAAAATAAATGCTATTAATATTCTTAAAATGTTGGCAACATTTAGTTTAAATTGAACATAAATTTGTTTGTAATTTATAGAATGCGGAACGACTATATTTTTATACCCTGTGTATTTTCTTTTAGGAAATTAAACAATGTTCAAGAAAATTTATAATATATGGTTTAAATGTGTTGTCTACAAAATGTGTTCTTTAGTTTAAAATCAGAAAAAAAAATTACTTTGAAAAAATGAAAGCTTTACGCTCTACCGCACGATTTGAGTACAATTGAAGAAGTAATTGGACAAAGGATCTAAATAATATTTTGACGAAAATCGAGCTTTTCGGATAGGACATCATTAAATGTCATATATTTTCAATTGTAATTACTCTTGTAGCTAGAAACTTAATAGAAGACGAGATTGACAGTGCACATAGGAGTTAGGTAACTATTAGTTTTACAATTTGTTAATAAAAAAATGTGTTGAGACGCAAATGTAAATTAACCCCTTTTGTCCACTTAATGCTTCATTTGAAAAGTATAGCAAATTACGAAGAATATAATTTAGAACCTTTCATTTAAAACAAAAGCAGAATGGCAAGGCGGTAAGAAGAAGCCGTCATTCTAATGTAAGAACAAATACACCGTGGCATGATGGATATTTGAGATAAATTCACCAAAAAATTAATTTCCAGTTTTACAATATTAAAAATTTTCAGTTCCGTAAAATATTATGCTGACCTACCGGGACACAAAAATAAAATTTTACACTAAAATATGCAAAAAACAAAAGATAATTTCTCTTTTTAGTGTGAGCACAAAAGGGGAATTTTAGTACTTTGAAGAATAATATTTAAGTCAAAGGAAATGTGAACACATTATGGAATTTTTCAATAGAATCTTTCACTTTTCCTCCCTAATATCAACCCCATCCAATGTTTAAAGTAAATATTTTAGTGTATAATTAAAAAAAAAACCCATACACTTAATCTATGTATGTAATTAAATACAAAATTTTTTATAACACGATCAAATTTTATTGTTCTACCGGCAAAAGGCAAAAAGTACACAAATATGGTGTAGCTTATTTTCCTTTCCTTTTTAAGTTTGCCGCTCATTTATTAGTGATTCAGAAGCGTTTTATAAATAAAAAAATTGAAAAAAAAAATAATATCAGATTATAAAACAAGTGTTACCACCCAAAAATTTCAAAAAAAAAAATTAAAGTCGGTTTTCTTTGTCAAACATTATTTTTTTTTGTAGTGTGGTATGTTTTACAGGCAAAAAATAACAATAGATTTTTATTATAAAAGCAAAAAGAGAAGGCAATAAAGAAACGCTTACATTTCAATTTTAATCAAAGTTTGCAGTTGCAACAGTTGAGACAAAAAAAAACTGCTTTTTTTTTACACAGAGAAAAAAAAATCTCAAACATTTTTAATTTATTAATTTTTTTTTTTATGTTTTTCTTTGTTTTAATTTCAATTGTGTAGGTTTTTTGTGTTTTTCATTATCCTGATTGGCATCGCAAAAATTTACAACAAATTTTAAGAAAAAAAACAAAAAAACTTTTAATCTTTTTTTTTCATTTATTTTAGTAATTACTTTTTAGAGATAAGCAGGCACGTTGTAATCGAGCATTACAAAATATTAATAAAAAAATTTATTTTGTTTGCCTGGTTAATATTTTGAAATATGAAATTGTGTTTAGAAACACACATTAACCCCTCGTTGCCGGAGAATAGAAATAGACGAAATCTGTTACTAAATTGTTTTCTTTTTTGTTTCTCTATTTTTCTTATAAATGGAAGCTATAGTTTCTTAGAAAACAAAATTTTTTGAATTCGGGTGCTAGATCTGAGTTTAGGGACCCGAAGTATCGTCAGTTCCCTACGAATATAATAGAAATCAATGAAAGAATAATTGCGAAAAAGTGAAGTTAGAATATATCGTGAGGTTAATTCTACAACTAAATAACAGATCGGTTAGACTTAAACTCACAGTAAGACTGTCAAAATTGAATGACATCACAATATGACACAAAAAATCGCCATCAAATGTGCGAGATAATGAAATACTTTAAAGTATCAACTTAAAACTTAAATTTGATGTGTATTAACGATTTTGAAGCGATTTAAAGTTGGGGATGCCTGAGAATAGTATACAAAGGGTTAAAATTGAAATTAAGGAAACAAAAAATTTTTTTATACAATACTGAAATTAAAACATATGTAACTTGAAATTTGGCAGACTAGAACGTTATTCTTCCCATATTAAACAAGGTGGTTATATTTTCAATATAAAATGGAGAACAAAACTAGCAATTAATTTGCGATTTCTTATCAATTTTAGCAAAATTTAATATAAAAAACTTCATGTTTGATCAAAATAAATTAAACTTTACTAAACTTTATGGTATAAACAAATTCTCTTCAAATTTCCTAATATTATTACAGAAATCTGCATTTCTTTGACATTATGTATATGGCATTCTCTATAGCTTCTACTCCCTCGTACAAATAAAGGAATAAAATGTTATTGGGAATATTTATTTCAATAACTATAAATGACTTTAATATTTTCACAATGTTTTTATTAACAATATACAAAATCATCATCATTAAAAAAAAAGAGTGGCCCCCTGATTTTTCTCTTAAATTTCACTTGTAATTTATAACGTCGGTTAGCCTTTTTTACTCTTTTTATTTCGTTTTATTACGATAATTTCCAAAATCATATTTTCAAACTAAATTATAAATAAGAAGTTGTAATTTAATTTAAATATTTTAAATTACTTAAAATTTCTAAATCTCTTCAAAAATTATAAATTTACCTGATAATGTTACATTGACATGCATTAATCCTATATGTGTACCGATTCGTGCTGCAATTTTTTCTCTTGAAAATGCTTTATATGGTGCAACAATTGTTGTAGATGCCACATGCCATGAAGATCCTAATCTTGTTACTATTTATATATATATTAATGTATATAAAATAGAAAACAAAAAAAAAAATATCAATTAATTAACATCAATATGTTAAAAAATATTTAATATTTAAAAATTCATAAATTAAAGATAATAATCTCATAATATGATTAACAAATTTTATTTATATTTGTGTATACAATAATATATGAACATAATGATGCTGTGATGTAAATTTGTCACAATGAATAAAGATTAGTTATAAAAATATTAATAATATTTAATATGAACGAAAATTTTTTCAAAAAGGAAGATGAAAAATTATGAAGAAACATAAATTATACCAAATATTTTGTTATGATTACAAAATGATAATCCCATATGTTAAACTGATTAAACCTACATATATGTAAAACAAACACTGAACTCTGCACAGGATTTAAATATACAACATGTGTTTGATAATTATGGCATATTTGGAAACCGATATTAAATAAAGAAGTTAATTTTGCCCTACTTGTAATAGTAACGCTATTGAAATTGAAAATTTGCGCTCATAAAACGGCGTATTAATTTTCAGAATTTATCAGTATATAGGACAGAAACTAAAACGAATAATCTTCTCAATAGAAATATTTTTTGTTAGTTATAAAGCAATTGATAATTTTATAGGAGACATCAAATGAAAACTCATTATTTTTAAACTCATTTCACAAATAAAATGCTATTTAGTAATTCAATTCTAAAACTTACTTATAAGACTCTTCATATTTTCTTCACATAAATTGTTTAAGAATTGGTTAATTTAAAAATTATGATATAAACACTTTCTAATAATTCTTTGTTGTTAAATTATTCAAAATATTTCTAGTTTTAGATAACCTAAGGCAATATTCTACATGATATTCTAAAATACGGGAAAGTATGCTTCACAGTTATAACTACCTTTTAAGGGGGGGGGGGTCCTTTTTTTTTTACTTCACTCAAATTTACCACTATAATCACTAAAGAACTCAGCTACCTAACTAAGGGAACATTTTCGTGAAAAATTTTCTCACAGTAAGCAAAAAATAATTTGTCTGATTCGAGTAAGAACTCGAATACCCTTTCAAATTCTATGAACGGAAAATTTAATTTTTATTTTTCAGTTTCTTCAATTTCAACATTTTATTATAGCTTTTTTAAGAAATCGCAGCATATAACAATAGATTATAGATCTCAAGAATCTTGAGATCGGAAATAAATCTTAAGAAATTCGAATATAAGTATGTGTGCTTGTTAAAACTTGTGATGCATAAACCGTCTAATGTAATATTTTATAAAAAATCATTCAATTGAAACGTTTAACGAAAATTATACGAGTATTATTCTTGAACAACGCAAAAAAAAAAAAAAAAAAACTTCAATTGGACCTTTAATTATTAGGTGTAAAATAGGCCCTATTTATTTTTTTTTATATACATACGAGTATATAAGAAAAATAAAATCAAATCCAACTTAATATTTTGACATTGACTTTGATCTCTATTTAAAATTCAAACCTATTATCGTTCGTTCATTCATTCGTTCATTCATAATAATTGTACATTATTGTACGTATAAGATCCGTCTATGCACATTCCTTAATCGGTTCACTGATTCATTCATCCGTTTATTTTAATATTTTTATGGATGAGTGATTTTTTCCAATGTAATTAAATGATTGTTGTTGTTTATTAAATAGTTTTGCTTTAATTTTAATTTTAAGTTAAAAGTAATTTTTTGTTTTTATTTTTTAAATAAAATTTAAAATTATGGGAAATTGTCGGTAATCATATCATTATCGTCGATTCGATACCCTTATTAAAAAAAAAAAAAAATCAAAATTAGTTTAGTAAAATTTTTTTTTGATCGTTTGTTTTTTTTTTCCCTATTATTCAGTGACCTTGATATATTTTTCATTTTTATTATATTTTTAGTCGTAAATCATTTGAACTTGAATTAAGAACTTGTACTTTAATTTTAAAATTTGAGAAATGAAGTCTTTGTATAAGTAAATTGGGTTCTTTTATTAAATTTAAAAATTTATGAGAAAATTTTAATTTAGTTTTTAAAAATTGTGTGGACGAATTATAAGAATATTGAAAAGTTTTTCTTTTATATTTGAATTTTACTTAAATAATTTTAAAAAATTTCAATTAAAATTTATGAATGAAATTCTATACTATTTGAATTTTTATTTATTAGAAAATTAAAATTTCGAAATGTACCATCCGGAGTACATCAGTTTTTTTAATTTGTTTTTGCAGTCGTAATAGACCCTAGAGTTCTAATTATTGTTCCTTTTCATTTGTTTTAATTTTATTATTTTATGACATTAAACTCATGACTGACCTTATTATTTAAAAATATACTGTCAGGCCATTACTTGTACGTAATTAATTTGCCCAAAAATTTATTAAAAAAAAAAAAAAGAAAATTTTGTAAGAATTCGTAAGAATTTTTAATAAATTCTGTATGAAAAATGTTCTATAAGAAATTAACAAAATAAAAAGAAAGCTTCGGTTGTGTTATCCAGACAACGTTATTATTTTTTTTACTAAAATTATTAATTATTGTGAATATGTTTTAAAATCACAGACTTAATTGATTAATTATGATTTTGAAAATGGAATGTAAATGACTTGCGTTCATCCTGTTTTTATCTTTTGTTCTATGATTAATAAATTATGATAGTTTTTAAGAGAGAATTTAAACTAAGTAAGAAAAATATTTTTTAAAAATCAAAATTGTATACCGAATTTAGTTCTATATTGGTAAAAATATTTGACATAATTAGTTTTCAATTCCGATTTATTAAATAATAAGTGGTTTTCATACAATTTCTCATGTTAGTCGCATTTATTCAAAAATTGAAAATTTTATGCCTCATTATATTCAATATTTAAAATATTATTTAAAGTAGATTTATTTCCGTAAAATAAATCACAACAGAATATTAAAATTAGAAACTGTCATATTTTAATTATAATCAAAAATTATCCAAATTAAATTAATAATGTTGTTTTTATAAACGTTTAAGAGTTGAAATTCAACAATAATAATCATCCAATAAATCAAAATCAATAAATATAATCCAAAAAAAAAAAATCAGATTTGATAATACGAAAAAAAATTCACAAGGTTAAATTTTGCTCTGTTTTTCTTTAATCATCCGACTGCAATATTGCTATCAATAGATGAAATTAAAAAAAACAAAAACAGAAACATATCAAAATTATAATAATAAAAACACAAAAAAACAAATAATTAAATTTTTATATACTCACTAAATATGACTAGCCCAACAAAAAGACTCAAAGTCACGGTCGAAAATGTTGTGAATCTCTGCAAAATAAAGTAAGTTGTGATACATATAAGTATGTACATAAGTATGTGTTTGTAAACATTAAAATGTTCACATTCACATTTTATAAATATAATAAAAATATACTCGTCATTAAATTAAAAATTTTAAATATTTAAAAATATGGCATAACAGTATAATGCATAACAGTAAAATATTCATATTATTATGATTGCATATGGTCCAAATCACTGTTGCAGAAAAATTCTTTTTCAATATTATATATAGTGAGTAATGTTTCTCGTAAAACACTGAAGAAAGAAATCAATTTTATCGAAAGCATTTTTAATTGTTATTATTAGAAAAAGATCTAAGCGTTTTATAAAATAATTAGGCTTCAGCAAGAACATTACAATGGAATATTTTTCAAGAATCTAAGAATTTTTACATTCGACCTCATGAGAAATATACTAACATAGATTATTTGATTATGGTCTAACTATGTGAATATATCAGTGTATATATTTATTATTTTTGCTATACACGCTTAGCTCAGAATGCCTTGATATACAGATCGGCTTAGAAATTAGCCCATTCACCGATTAGCACTGTTTTTACAAAGTAGTGGATGCGTTATACTTCCCATTTCGCAGCCCACAATTCGAAATAAATTTAGAGCTATAAATTTTAAAAGAGAGAAAGAGAAGCAGGAAGGTTTTAAGTAAAGTTTAAAATATATTGATTTAATTGAAAAATTCAAATTCCAAAATTTTTATCGTAAAGTAACAATATTATAATAAAAGTTAGGTACTTCCAAAAGTTATAATAAGTTCACCTATTATTAAAGTACACCATATAACACACAACCATTTGTAATATAAAATTATCTAAACCGATATACTTAGTATATAGATTCCGGTTTTGACATATATGGTAATTGTGTGTTAAGTACACGACATTTACATTCTGTTTTACACTTATATATTTTAAAATAAAATTAAAGAAATCCGGTATATTACTTGAGTACAATTGAAATAGGCAAAATTTGTAAAAAAAAAAAAACAAGAATAAAATTCATATAAAAATTAATTTTAAAAAATAATTTTATATCCGCATTAATATACATTTACATACATACTGTATGTAAACATGATTTCATACAAAATTTAAATTACCTGTTTTCTTACACCTGGAAATATTACTAAAAATGCTAAATAAATAGTTGCAAATAGGACAGACACAGCTACAATTGATACATCACCAGTTACTGGCGTTCGATTTGAAAATGAATATAGTGTAGGTCCACCATCGTCTCGAAAAGCGTCGAACCAACCCTTCATTTTTAAGTTAAGCTCTGCAAAAAAAAAAAAATTAAAATATTGTTTTAGTCGTTTGTTTTTGTTTAAATTTTTATAAATTTTTATTTAAAATTTCAAAATTGGTTCTATAAAAATAATGAATTTCAAAAAGATTCAGAATAATAAATTGTTATACTTAGAGAAATATTTTTTGTGTATAATTTTAAGGATTTTTAAACTGTGGTGCCTAAAATTGCAACTATAAATTTATTATACACATAAAAATTAAATTAGTTTTGTTAATAAAATAAAGGTTTTTTTTCATACCCATATATGAAAGATACTAAAATAATAAATCAGAAAACTTGCTTAACTTGAAAACCTTGCATTTATATTCTAAGTAGTTGAAATCAAGAAGTATAAAGGTAAAAACAAAACTTATAATTTTTTTTTCTTTATATAGGAACTATTTTGAAAATAAGTATATATAATTATTTAGTCATGGAATACAGAGGGTTCCAGTTGTTCAATTCAATTACGAAAGCCGCATGAGCAAAGCAGCCAAATCTCACTTGTAAATGCAATTTTTGCTCCAACATTGTACTTATTAATATTATCCTGCCTATTTATCAGAGAGTTGCTTCATGTGTAGACACAAGCTTCAGATAAGTATAGTTAAAATTTTGAAATTTCATAAGCAATGAGATTTTTTGCTTAGATTTTCTCTAGAATAAGATTAATTTCTAGTTATTTAATCTAATTATTTCTCTAGAATAAAATTTTTATCCATCCACATTTTAAAGTCTATAACCTAAAGTCAAAATCGTAAAAAATGTCAATTTTTAATAGTTAATTTTCTAGAATTCATAGAGAATTTATAAGCTCGATGCTATACTTTAGACATTTTTGGTTCTCACCTATTTTTTTAACGTCTAAACTCCGAGTAAATAATTATATGTCAACATAACGTCAATTTGATTTTTCTAGAACTTGACATTTAATTTGCACTTGCGTAAATGTCTATTAAAATCTTGCAATTTGAATTAGACCTTTAATACAATTTCAATTATTTCAATTAAGAATATCAACGATTCTCGTACACTTTGTGCGTTCATAAAATAAAAATGCTTGTTGCATTAAAAATGCTTTATAATCTTACATTAAATTCTGTTATTGTTGGTGCTGCACCCTACAAAATAAAAATTGTTACTATGCGGCTATTATTACAATTTAAATTTTAATAATAGTAATAATTTTTCTTTTTAGATTTTTAATAGTTAATAACTTAAAAAAAAAAACAGTTAAAAACTAAATGAAAGGTAAATAAATTTTAAGTGTATTGTTGGGCAAAAATTCTTTTCGAATGGTTCGAAGTAAAATTGTTTTTTTTTTTTTTTAAGATTTGTTGTAGCAATAGATCGAGATTAATGGTCAATATGTTTTCCTCTTACATAAAGAAAAAAATATTTTTATGCACTTCACTTAACAATTTTTTTTTCTTGTTTTAATTTGAAAATTTTTTTAATGTTTTGTAAATATCTTAAAATAAATCTTTAAGACAAAACAAAATTTTTTTGGTTTAAATTTCATCGGGTAGGTGGTATAAATTTAATTATAAATTATTACACGAACAATGAATTTTAAAATTATTACATGTAATGTTATAGGCGCATATATATACACAGTCGGTGTATAATAAATGAATAAAATAATTAAATATTGCGAAAAACTAATTTGTGATTTAAAAATAGAAAATTAATTAAAAAAAAAAATAACAATAAATATACACGTGTAACTGACATATAATTACACAGTGGAATGCCTTGTTGAAAGAGTTCTCAATAAGGTGTATAACAGTTAGTGAATAAAAATTATATATATTAATTAAAATTAATTAAAATTAATAGAAAAATTAGTTTGGATATAAAAAAAAACCCCCGGTTTGGCGCTGTCATCGCATTGAGTCATTTAAAATTCCTTTCAGATTTGCTCATAAGGTTCAAATGGAGGAATTTTGCAAAGTCCTTTTATAGCTGAAGTGACTTGGTTCAATAGTTTATTTCTGCCAAAATGAAATTTTTAATTTATTTACGCCGCTCATACAATATTGTCAGTTGTTGGTAAAAACAGATAATTCGAGAAAGCAAAATATTAGAAATTGCAAGTCAACAAAAAACTGGGATGCAAATTTCAAATAATTAAAAAGAATTTAGTTATTTTGGAAATTGGTGTACTTCGGTTAAACGTGATTTAAATAATATTCTCCTGGAGCAAATAAATTATAAATTTCGGAATTCTCTTCAAGAATAGGTAAGTTATATATCTCTAAGTTTTCATACAAGTCTTTGGTGCTCCTCTTCAATTAAATTTAATAAAATTTTCAATACTGTTGAAATAGAATCAAATTTTGAATTACTTGTTTATCGAAAATTTCGGATGGAAATTTCCATTTAAAATATTTAAAAATAATTGAAAATTATGAAGAAATATTCCATTATGAAATTCATTGTAAATTAGAATGAAAAAATTTATTTTTTTTAAATTTAAATTAAATATGGAAATATGGGGGAATGTGAGGAGTTTTAGAAAACAAACATTAAATTCTTCAGGAACGATAAAATTCAAGGAAATTTTTTATAATAAAAAATTACAATTCAAAAATTTGGAATAACCAACTAAAGAAACTAAATTTAATGTTCAATGCAATGTTGATGTTTCCTACATTTGTATAACACTTTTTACTATAATAATAAACATAATAAATTTCATATAAAACCTTAAAATCATGCTACTTAAATATTCTACAGACATTCTCCCATAAATCTCATTACAACAACACAAAAAATTCTATCAAAAATTATCACGTTTCCATAATAAAATCATGTTTAAAATTAAAAATATTTTTATTTATTTTGAAATCCGAATTTTGAATATAAAAAGGGAAGATTCTTGAAGAATACGAGGGTCACTATTTATATTTCGGGTCCTGGCAATACTAGTGCTGCCAGGTGCAATCTGACACTTCCATTGGAAAGTTTGACATTTTTTAGCACAACTTCACTCAGAACGTTTTGTCATTCGAGCGCGAATTGCTTTGTTTACAGTGACTTGAAAAATTCATCTCGGTCAAAAAATGGAATTGTCGCATGAAAATTTTCGTGCGATGATTTTTTACGATTTTCGGCGCGGATTATCGAGACAAGAGTGTCTCGATCAACTTGTTTCGACTTTTGGTGATGAAGCACCATCAAAAACCACTGTAAATCGCTGGTACCAAGAGTTTGGTTTCGGACGCCGTTCGCTCCAGGATGAATTTCGTGAAGGTCGGCCAATTTCGGTCGTTTTGCCGGAAACCATCGATGCTGTGCGCGAAATGATAATGATGGACCGGCATGTGACATACTGTGAGATTGAGGCATCCTTGGGCATTAGTTCCACCAGCGTACATAAGATATTGCATGAACATCTTGCCGTGAAAAAGGTGTGTTGTCGATGGATCCCAAAAAATTTGACGATTGCACAAAAGAAGGCTCGTGTCGATTGGAGCAAAGAAATGTTGAAAAAATTCAATCGCGGTACGTCAAAAGACGTTTATAAGATAGTCACAGGTGATGAATCATGGATCTATGCATATGAGCCCGAAACGAAACAGCAATCGACCGTATGGGTGTTCCAAGACGAGCCAAATCCAACAAAAGTTGTTCGTGGAAGAAGCACATCGAAGCAAATGATCGCGTTTTTTTTTTGGTATAACCGGTCATGTGGCCACAGTACCTTTAGTGGAACGTAGGACGGTCAATTCTGAATGGTACACCACCATCTGTTTGCCGAAAGTTTTCGAAGAAATAAGGAAAACAAACAAGCGCCGGCGAATCATTCTTCATCATGACAATGCAAGCTCTCACAAATCAGCTGAAACAATGGACTATTTGAGCACTAAAAATGTCGAATTGATGGGTCATCCGCCGTACAGTCCTGATTTAGCACCCAATGACTTCTTCTTATTCCCTCACATCAAAAAAAAAAATGCGTGGACAACGATTTTCAACACCTGAAGAAGCAGTCGATGCGTTCAAAAACCATGTTTTGGAGGTGTCTCAATCGGAGTGGAAAAAGTGCTACGAAAATTGGTTTCAGCGCATGCAAAAGTGTATTGATCTTCATGGGGAATATTTTGAAAAACAATAAAACCATTTCCAATGATAAATGTTTGTTTTTTATTGCTAGACCCGAAATATAAATAGTGACCCTCGTATTTGAATAAAAACTATTTTGTTCAAGTTTCGTCAATTATCACAAAAAGAAAAACCACTATTTCACGTTTACATTTACTGATTTTTTGGTTTCCCACCTTCACACGCCTACTTCTATATAATTTTCTGCATTGTTGTGCATATTATACAATGTTTTTACAAACTACTTATATTTTATATTACATATAAAATATAAGTAGTTTGTAGTTGGTGTTAACGTCTGAGAATCTGTGTAGAACAATTAAATTTTTAATTTTTCATTAAAACATTCTAATCGTTGAATGAGTTTAGTAATAAAAATTAAAAATATTTAAATCTAATTTAATTACATTTAAATTAGATTTAAATATTTTAAATTAATTAAAAAAAATTTAAATCCATAAAAATTGTATAATGAATTATAAATATATAAAAAAACAACAAGTTTCTCGCTAAAGTCTTTTGTTTTTGTTCGGGAAAAATTCGATGTTTCGCCTAATTAAAAACGATGAATACTTAAGTATATGAATTGAAAAAAAAAGCGTTTTAACAAGATTTTAATTGTTCGGAAGGAATTGTTATCCGGTATTAATTATAAGATATCACGAACTGTACCACCCTATTCACCATCCAGGATTTCTTACGAACTCAAGGGGTAAACAAAAAACGACTTAAACAAATTCACAAAGTCAAAATGTCAAATTTACATTTTGTTGCTTTCATTTTAAGAACTCATCAAAATATTTTCCCATTTCGTATTCTTCTGTAATCAACGACAACAAAAACAAAAAAAAAATATTGACAAAGAATTAAAATGTCAATTT